AAGAAAAAATTCTCTTATCAATGAGTAACAATGTGGGAAAAAATTATTGTCAACTAGCATGGATTTAAGCCCCCCCCCCCCCCCCCCAAAGCAATGATAAGATAATGATTATTTAATGTTGGGATAGAAGACAGACAGAAAAGATGTGGCAACTCCAACCACCAACACTGATAGTGTTACCCACATAAGTTTAGAGACCTAGCCAGGAAGAACACAGAGGAATCTGATGGGACATTTCAGTAACCCACTTTCAGCACTTTTTAAGGACCCCCGGGCAAGTGTTGAGTTCCTGCGTGCTGTCGGCATCGCTGACCGTTTATGACGCTGACCGTTTATGACGCCACAGCGTCAGAAGAAAGAGACAGAGAACACAGACGAAGAAGCAACTCTTTCACAATTATGAGCATGAGCAGCAACTCACTACAAAGAGATCATTAACTTCCAAAAATACAAAAATAAGCATATTATAAATAATATGTTCCTAATAAACCTCATGCTGTAACAGGCTTTCGAACTTCTGTTTCTGAGCTGAAGCCTTATACCAGGTGCCCACTACGGACGGGATCGGCCGATCGGGCCGATCACCCGACTCGATCACCTCAAAAACAAACGTGTTTGTTTTCAGTTTCAGGCGATGGAGTCGGGCGATCGGCCCGATCCAGCTGTAGTGGGCACCCCGTATTATCAAACAAGCCCATCAAAATGAAAGTTCCCAGACAGCACTAAATGTAAGGAGTTTTGCTGACCAACAGTAAAACAGTGGAAGGAATGCAAGGAACATTGACAAACACTGCCCAGCTTACTAAACAAGCCAGCTGTAAATGCAATCAGCATCTGTGAGGCAGTGTCGTGAAATCAGGCACTCGTCAAAATTCAGAAATCGGAAAAACAGATATTTTCCCGAAGTTTGGACATTTTTTATTGAATTTGTATTTTTTGGCCCAACCTCTCTTATGTCCTAATAAAAACACATTTCCAAGGGAAAATTACTGAAAAACATTGAATAAAGGCACAAAAATGTCATTTTTCTGTTTTCAAGAATTCTTTAGCTATTGGAGTTACCGCACTTTGGCATCCATTTTCTCTCTAATTTCACCACTGAAACCAGGCTACCTTTCTTTCTTCAATCGCAAATATCTTGGATATTTACTTCATTGAAAGCAAGGCAAGTAAATCAGCTCTCAGATGATACTAATAACTCCACATGCCCAAAAATTGACGAGCGCCTGATTCCACCGCGTTGTGACACACATATACATTTCACTGTAAGTGTTGCAGAAAGGGAGCCCTCAACACCTACGTTTCTTAGACGGATAACAATAGAACAGTTTAAAGAGCTGAAAACAAGACATCCTTTTTTTCTACCAATGACAGATGAACAACTCAGGAATTCCCACTCTTGGCTTTCTGAAAACTAGGGACAAATTATATGACAAAGTGGTATCTGGTATACACTAAACTTATTTGTTACCTAAAAACATGTTTTATTCTAAGCTGCTTTCAAACAAATGTGAATCATTTTGTTATGAAATGTTTATTCAAGAACTAAAACAATCCGTTTTATTCGATTATTTATGTCCAATAGACATGTTTTCGTGAAATTCTTTCAGTCATGCATAATCAACGAAGCAAACCACAGTCAAAATGATAAGGACAAAACAACAAACATATAATTGTATTCAGAATCACCTTCATAAAGTGAACATTCAGTAAAACAAGGAAATAATTAAAGCTACCACAACACATCTGTGCTGATATGTACCGTATGGAGAGTAAAATTTGAACGAGCTCTGGAATTCATCAAACAGTTTGAGCGTGGAGCGGGACTTATAACAAACATGTTCTTGCTACTAAAAGCACTCAGAGCCTATATTTGAATGAGATAGAGCTCTACACAAATGCAATCATCTTTTATTAATATTTTTATTAATAAACTAAATAAGAAGGGGAGAAAACTCGAGTGGCGAGCAGACAGCAGGAGATCTTCAGATTAAGAAACCCCTTCAAGCAAGTGCTTCGGCCCTAACTACCGGACACTCTACGAAGTGACAGCGCAAGGTACTTTGTCTCTCTGTCTCATTAGGGGGAAGCAATCAGAACAGAGAAAAACAACAATTCCTATTTTTATCGCAAACAAGCACAAGGTTCACATCGGCAACCCAATCAATATTTAGGTTGTTGGGATCGTAATTGACGGGTCATAGGTTTCAACCTCATAGGAGTCCTGACATGTATCCTTGCTAAAATCACTTTACACATATTCATCTCATTTCTCCTTCTGGATCGATCGATAACAACTTCTCATTTCTCCAAGGTGGGAAGGGGTACCTGGCTATTGACATCAAAATATTTTGTCAGTTCGTTTGTGCATAAGCGCTTAATTATTAAACTGCTCACACTGTACGGTAAGTTTCCAGGAAAACTCAGAATGTTTCTGAATGTTCTAGAGTCTGTTGGGGTTAAAAACAATTACGATCAACTAAAATCTTATTCTTATACACCATAACTGCATATGAGTGGTTCAAGAAACAACAAACACATGACTAGAAGGTTCAGTTTAGTTCTAGTGTGAGTTTTACAGCACTTGCAACACAAATAGGTAATTTAACTATTGGAGTTTAGAGATGTTAATACTAACATAGAGAGTAACATACCAAAAAAAAATAATAAGGAGGAAAGATATGGATAATACGTGTTTGGTAGGAAAGAAGGCGAAAACCACACTAGAGCACCCACCAACCCCCCGACGACTAGAAGTTTCTTACAATCCCATTCGTATTGCGAACTGACACAAACCCAAGTTGGACAAATGCTGTTCCATTTGTATATATATATATATCACCAGCGGCATTCCACAATGGCCTAACTCAGTTTCTGGGCGTTTCCAGATTGAGCTCCATATGCCCAAAAATTGCCAAGCACATGATTCCATGGCATCATGACACACATTTTGTCAGATTGTCTGCACATACTTTGAATGGATGTTGCCACAAAGAACATTTTGGCCTAGGTCCCAGCATAGGAGGAATGAAGTGCAAAAGAAGTGAGACACATACACAGAATTTCAACATCACACACTATAACATTCATTACTGCATCCTCCGAATCGTTTCAGGTTCTACCAAAAGCAATATTTTGAAAACATTTAGTACTGTCAGAGCTACTATCGGAAATCAATACTTATTTTTTTTAAAAATAAAACAAGCATCAAAAACATAATCCCTAAAAATCAGATCTATTAAATTTTAAAAGAATTAATTACATAATTGTTCCCCAATTCACATAATCAAAAATAAATGTACCTTCCTCATCATCATTGTCTTCATTATTATCATCATCATCACATGCCCTTTTTCTTGCTTCGTTTTTCTTGAAGCATAAAAATTTGTACCATATTGGCATATTTTACGTTACTGTAACTCACAAATACTGGCACCAAAATCAGGAAACGGGACCAAAAATATTTGTTATTTAATGTACCTTCCATCCAGAGTTTGTGACAGTGAAGAAACATGGCCAACTCTACTACAACTAAGTGTATAGCGCATTCAAACTAGAGTAGGAAACAAAACTAGCAGCCTCTCCAAAAATCACGCCCATGAAAGAAGGGCATCAAGAAAAAGACATTTGACAGATTGGCAGGTAATACATGTTGTTAAGAATTAAAGAAGGAATGAATGAGATAAAAGTAATATTTTTAAAATGAACCTATAACATGACATTTGATATATTAGCAGTATAATCACGAGACTGAACACACAAAATATTCGGGAAAACCACGGAGAATGATAACAAACGCGGTCTTAGAGCAGGTGTGGGGTTTCAAAAACCCCCCAAAGGAAGCACATTTTGAAATGACTACAATCCTTGGTTGTGTATATCTGCATGCTGGAGAACAACATTGGGAGCACCGAGCTAAAAACCTGCTATGTAGGGCTGGGTCACGAGCGCGAGAACGGAACTGAATCACCACTCTTTCCTGCGGAACAGTATCGCCAAACGATTTCCGATTCACTCCCCTGTCACTGTCACCACCTTGTGGCTTGTTTAACCTACTGCTGAGTCGAGTCACAAGCGCAAGAACGGAACGGAACACTTTGTATGGCTCCCCTTATTTTACAAAAGATGGTATAGTCCAACCCCCCTATTAAAACAAAATGAACGGGGTCCAACCAATAGACAGAAGGAATTTTATGGAGCCATTGTTTTAGCGAATGGTGGGGTTGGGGGGAGGGGGATTTATGGGGGTCACTAATTGAGGTCAGTTGATAGAGCAGCGCAACAAAGGGTGTGGGTCGGAGAGGATGGCGGAACAACAAGAGTGGGACTTGCGCTCGCCAAGAGGTGTTGATATGACACTGTTCCATTTCAGTCAGTGTTCCGCCACAGCTCCACGAGGGCTCGCGTACTCGCGATTCATTGAAGCCGACTGAATCGCGAATCACCACTCTCAAATTTGACGAGCAGGATCCAGCCCTACTGCTATGTAAACCCATGGCTAGCACATCTCTTCAGGTAAAATACATAACCTTCTGAACCCATCGCGAGGTTATTGCGACTATGTCACAATACTAAATACAGGCACTTGAGACCCATTTTTGTGGACGGAACCATCGGAAATGGTTTAAACTTCTTTTCAAGGAAGATTTTCCTAGCATTTCCTGCCCCAGTCAAGAATCTAGACCCAGAATTGGAATAGAAAACTAACAGTCTAGGAATTTGTTTACATCAGTTGCTAAGGCAGTAATCAAATCTGAAATGGCGGCAAATATGCATGTTTGCAACCTGTTCAACGCATTTTATCGGGATAGTAGTGATTCAAGAGGAAAAGACTGTATTTCAATGCAAAAAGTGTGAGGTATACATATCCCTCTGAGTCCCTGGCTACTTTGAACTGTATCACTCATACTAAGACTAGGAAAAATTTGACACTTCAATGTCAAGACTAACACACAGGCAAAGACAGTCTAACAAACAAACAAAATAAATCTATGACAAGGTATTGTTTTGAACATTTTTATCTCGTGTTTTTTCTTCACTCAATTTCCAGTTCAATGAAGTTTGGTTCATATTTCTACCTTAAAAAATAAGGAAGTTATAAGCATTTTTAAGGACTCACCCTTATTCTCATGAATTTCTCACAGTAATTCCCCTCTGGGGGACCGGACAGTGCAAATTTATTCACCTCTTGAATGGTTAATTTTCACATTCAACCTTTCCGTAATACAATGAAGGTACAGCTAACTGAGTGCAAATGGCCATACCTGTTACATAGACTGAAGGCCAGTCCGTGTGGGCAAGTGTTTTCACTACATCTGGGTAGGCCAATGTTTGATTACAGAGAAAAAAAAAAGGCTTCTGAAATAAAATGAATGATACGCACCACCCACCCCTATAAATTTACAGAGTTGTATGCTTCATCTTCTTCTTCTTATTATTATTATTCTATGACAATTTCCAAGAGTAGAACTTGTTTTCCACAAAAACATACAGTAATCCATGCTAGGGACAATGTAAACATTTTTTTTAACTGAAAGATGTCCACGACAACAAAGGTGAACAATTAAAGAAAAAAAACCCAGCCATTCATTTTCGTTTGTAGCAGGCCCATGAAACACTGACATAGAGCCCTTCAAATTAAATTCCACAATGAGACTTGTTTCAACCTATTAATTTACGTCAAATAACCAGTGTCACCGTTTTACTAGAACACAGCAAATCCTGACTCCGACATTAAGAATTTGTCTCATTTTTAACATATTCATGACTATTTACCGACGAAGGACGATTTAATTTACAAAGCAAGATTGTGTAAAACAAGATTTTACTCAACGACAAAACGTAGATTATAAATAAACTGCACATACGAAAGTAAAAAAATTCTCAACTAAGCATACATCAACCTGCCAGCATTACACCCAGGGACTTGCCCACAAACACATGTTAAGAGTACAGAACCCATCTCAAAACAAATCCACGAGATCCCCCCCAAGACTTTGATAAACAAGAAGCATTCTCCAGTAAAAGAAACACAAACTTACCAACTAACACCTTCAGGTAAGTGAAATACTGAGCAAAGAAAAATATATCCCAACACACCATGAGCCTGTTTGCAGGCCACGCGCAAAGAGCATTTATCACACTATGCTTTGAGTAAGTGCACGCAACTTTCCCAACACCAAATATTATAATAATCTCAATTCTCCAAGAGTTTGCTGAAAATACCTCAATTTCTCTTAGCCTCAAAAACATCCCCTTACACAATGCAATCCCACAAAATCGTAGTCAACCCTCAGAGCCAGTCCTCGCATCTTTAAAGAGATTTTTTTTACGTATCCCTGGGCAGGATCTTGGGGAAGACGTCAGGGCTGTAGAAATACTTGGCGATGCTTTCCACAATCCCATTCAGCTGTTCTTTTACTTGCCCGTAGTCAAGCCTGAAACAAGGCAAGATAAGATACAATTTATTGATCACCACAAAGAGAAATCTGCTACAGTAGGGTATTTAAATACATGCACACGCACTCGTCAACACTCATTCTCTCTTTCTCTCTCTCTCTCTGACACACATGGAATCATCTATAGATATTAAAGACCTAAAACAATTACATACCTGCACACACACTTTCATCAACACTCACTCTCTCTTTCTCTCTCTCTCTAACACACACACACACGTAATCATCTACAGACATTATAGTCCTAAAACAATTACATAAATACACACACTCATATCTCTCTCTCTCTCTCTCTCTCTCTCTCACACACACACACATACATACACAATCAACTATAGACATTATAGTCAAAGTACAATGATCTTACAGACGCATGGACAATATTGACAGCACTGTATTGACAGGATCAAACTCCCAGGGATAGACGTAAAATATAGAGGGGAATGGGAAGAGCTGACAATAGAGAACTTTTCTTTCCAACTACACAACAGCACCTTGCAACAGTTCATGCTCTCACTGAGAGTCTGAGAGCACAGCAGCCAGAACTGTGCCCCGCACCACTACGATGGCATCATATCTTCGGGCCACATCTGTTTGACTTTACTTAGTCCAGAGAGCAACATTTTTCAGGAGAGACGAAAAAAAGACTTCATTTGGGCACAGACAACTCCAACACATCAGGGATTTTCAAATGTGTTATACAGGGTGCCAACTACGGCTGGATCGGGCCAATCGCCCGACTCGATCGCCTCAAACTGAAAACAAATACGTTCGTTTATGAGGCGATCGAGTCGGGCGATCGGGCCGATCCCATCCGTAGTGGGCACCCCATATTCGTCACATCCAATAACGAAAAATCAAAGAAAGTTCAGTCGGGTGATGGCAAATTGTATGAGAAATCCGTGATTTCCAGTTTTTTGTGTTCATGTCATCTGTGCACGACGGTATTTCTTCTCCTTTTAGTCAGAGGCTATAGTTTACTGCCGTAGGCCATACGCAACTGTCAGCAGCCATATGTAACTGCCATGTTTAACAATTTGGCAGCTATATGCAACTGTCAGAAGCCATATGTAACTACCATATTTAACAATTTGGCAGCAATATGCAACTGTCAGAAGCCATATGTAACTGCAACAGCCACAATATATAACCGCCAGCGGCCATTTGTAACTACCAATGGCCTGTTGTAACTATCAGTGGCAACATGTAACTATCAGTAACAACATGTAAGTGCTAGTGGCCACATGTAACTGCCAGTGGCCACATGTAACTATCAGCCGTCACATGTAATAGTCGGAGGCCACATCGTACCCATGCTCAGGATCGGGCCGGTGTTCGGCGTAGTACTTGATCTTGGGCTCGGTGCCACTCGTCCTCAGCGTGGCCACGCAGCCGTTCTCAAACTTGAAGGTGATCATCTGACTTGACTTGCTACAAGGCAGTTTCTGATGGAACAAGCGGTGGTTTTGTTTGAGTAAAGAGAAGTACATCCTCAAAATAACGGTCCTGTAGTGCAGGGAACAAGGATGACAGACAGACAGAAACAACAGGGGGAAAGTAAACAAGTAGGACCTACCGGTGGTGCCCTCAAACCACCCGCACAGGCAAGAAGTACGACCTATCACGGTGCCCTCAAACCACCCGTACCCACACAGACAGACAGACAGACAGAAACAACAGAGGGAAAACAAAGAAGTAGGACCTACCGGTAGCGCCCTCAAACCACCCGCACAGGCAAGAAGTACGACCTATCACGGTGCCCTCAAACCACCCGTACCCACACAGACAGACAGACGGACAGAAACAACAGAGGGAAAATAAAGAAGTAGGTTCTACAAGTGGCGACCTCCAACCACCTGCACAGAGAAGAAGTAGGACCCACCAGTGGCACCCTCCAACCACCCGAATAGACAAGACATAAACAACAGAGGGAAAATACAGAAGTAGGACCCACCAGTGGCACCCTTCAACCACCCAAACAAACAGACAGAAACAACAGAGGGAAAATAAAGAAGTAGGACCTAACAACGGCGCCCTAAAACCAAGAACAGCACCACATTGTAGGCCAGAAAACGGGATACCAAGGGCAATGCACTAACTGAAGTGTCTTTCTGATTTAGTAAGCGCTTTACAGCACTTGCAACACAATGAGGTTATTTAAGTGCCGAAGGCTAGAGGTGTTACAACAGAGTAACAAACACAAAAAAAGAAGGAGGAAAGATAAGGACAATAGATGTTTGACAGGAAAGAAGAAGCAAACCACACCAGAGCTCCTGCCAACCACCCAATGAAGTGCCTTAAGGCCATTCCCAAAGGGGGGACATTAACAAGTTTGTATGCACAGTAGAATTGTAAATGGGCTGACTTATCAATGTCATGCTCACACTGTGCCATAAAAACATAGGGGGAACTGCAGCTTTTTCTTTCCTCATCCATACTATCGTCATTTTTCCTCAACTTCTTTTGTATGTTCACTCTCTTGTGAACTGCTATATCCGAGGTGCTTTCATAGTCGAAGCAGACTTTGTGCTGTTGAGGCTAGAGAGGTGAGCAGAGAAAGCCTGATTCCCATTTTGGACTTCTCTGTTGGCATCCATCTCTTAGCGCTCATATGACCGAATGCAGTTGCAAGCACCGAAATAACCTTACTAAACTAAATCTACCCTATAGAGAGCATTGCACTTGGCATCCCTGCAACTGTAAGGCAGCCACTGTATACAAATGTAGAGCTCACAATGCAAAACATGAAGGCTGTGATTATACGTACCGGTTTCTTGTCAATAGTCTCACTGTCGTAACCCACAGTCAAGTCTCTCACATGAGCGATGGCGTAGTCTCCACACTTGCTGGGATACTGCACAGACAAAATGGACAGAAAAAGAATGTTATAACAAACAAAAAAAACAACAACAAAAAAAAAGTAAAATAAATCCGAAAAAAAAGAAAAAAAAAGTTTGGGTTTATTTATAGCAATGTGTTCCTCTTGAAGTCTAAAACATCTTCACAATAAGTCTCTCACTTGGCCTGTTCACTTCAAATTATCATTTAGGTCCTACTTGGGACATTCAACAATGCAGCCTGTTAGACCCATATCACTGTCATTTGCAACTGGGAGAAGCGAAAAAAACCCCAAAACATCCAACACGGTGAAGCTCGTGAGTATACTCATCCACGGTCCTAGGGGAGCAGTGAGCAGTCGAGCTTCACGAATACTACAGTCCACGTGTCGTGGGTGTTGATGAATTAAGTAATAGAACAATGATGTGATACTTCCTCTATACCTAGTTCTACACCTCCTTGTACATGCACATGATCTAATCCTTCAAAAGGCGAATTAGTTCGCACTGTCCGGTCCCCCAGAGGTGAAGTAGTTTGAAAACCTCATGAGAATTAGGACGGGTCATAAAAAGTGCTTATAACTTCCTTATTTTTTCAGAAAGAAATATAAACCAAACTTCATTGAGCTGGAAATTGAGTGAAGAAAAAACACGAGATAAAAAATGTTCAAAACAATACCTTGTCGTGGATTTAATTTGTTTGTTTGTCAGAGCGTCTTTGCCTGTGTGTTAGTCCTGACATTGTAGTGTCAAATTTCTCCTAGTCTTAGTGTGAGTGATACAGTTCAAAGTAGCCTGGGACTTGAAGGGACATGTGTACCTCACACTTTTTGCATTGAAATACAGTCTGTTTCCTCTTGAATCACTACTATCCCGATAAAATGCGTTGAACAGGTTGTAAACATCCATATTTGCAGCCATTTCAGATTCCATTCCTGCCTTAGCAACTGATGTAAACAAATTTTGAGACTATTCGTTATCTATTCCAATTCTGGGTCTAGATTCTTGTTTGTGGCAGGAAATGCTAGGAAAATCTTCCTTGAAAAGAAGTTTATCTTATAATAGATAGCATTTGTATAGCGCATATCCCCGCTCAACAGCAGGCTCTATGCGCTTTACACTACATTAAAATCTATCTTAGTTTAACACATTACACCCTAAGAGTCTGGACGGGAAGTCCATTGTTAGATCCTAAGCAAAGGGAAGGAACCCACCTCCCGTGAATACAAGCCTTTAACTCATTCGCTACATATTATTTTCGGCTTGTGGACAAACTTTTTTCGGGAGGGCGAATGGGATGATGACTAGTGGGCAGTTAAAAGGTCTTTGGGCCCACAAATTCAAATAAATATCAACGTATTGTATACCAATATTTCCAGTATGGTTTGTAGAATACATCTGTAATGTTTATTTAAGTATTTTTCAACTTATGTTCTTGTAAGAGGCGATTATGCAACACAATTTTGATTGAATGCGGATAAAATTTGAAAATATAAAATAAATAATCTTTGCTGAAACTCACAAAATATGTTTGCACCTAGTCAAATTATACATCAAAATAACCATAAATGAATATAGAACTGGAAAATATTGAAAAGTTTGCAGTTCTTTACATACATTCCATAATATTTGTACATTTGGAATCATAATATCTGATATTGAAAAAAAAAAATTTTTAATTTTATAATCTTGAAAAATGATCACAAACAGAAAAAACCCACTCGTATCTTATATGGAATTATTCAGAATTGCATTTGGAATAAACCTATACATGTCTAGGGTGGCACTTTTGTGTAATTTCATCAAAAAGTAGTGATTTTGGGGAGAAAAAAATATTTTTACAATTTAGAGCTAGATATAGCATTCTAGCACTCAAAAATATTGATTTCTCAATAACAGTGCATTGGCAATATGAGTCCAATCGTATCAATATTATAAAATTGAGTTCTACATTTCTTTAGTGGGCAAAATAATTATTGATTTTGTTGTGTAAAATTACTAAGACTGGTGTCCGGGCTATAATTTTGGCATCGTGATAAACACAAGTCGAATAAACTACTAAATCGCGTTTCAAAACTAAATCTCTAAACTTTCGATTTTCAGTGGAAATGCTTGACCCGGAAGTCAACATTATTTTATGACCTTTATTTTAACATGGATATGTGGATTGGAAAAGAATCTAAGCTAAAATTGAAGATCGGTTCTCGAGCCGCCGGGGGCGGCTTAGCGTACTGACAGCACTTTAGCCGCGCTGCCCCCCCATGGCTCCGATTAGCGAATGAGTTAAAGAACACATTTTAAAAATACTAAACAAATTCCCAAAATCCTGAAAAAATAAAAGTTAAAACGAAAAATGAATGTAGTTTCAGAAAAATATAACTTTATGTATGCATAAACTGTTGAAAATGTTCTAACTTTAGTTCAATCGGGGTGTCCGACCAGTCACTCTCACTCTCAGCCTTGCGGCCAGGCCCTAGATCTAAATTCTAGACTTTCTACGTCTGATCAATCGGAATCGCCTTAAACTCTTGCTAAAACGTTTTCATCAAAATCTGAGACATCTGATTTGTCATATGCTTGTTTTTGCTAAAATCCATCGTTATTTCCTTTTTCGAACTCAATTGTGTCGCTTTTCAACAAGTTGAAACACCTTCGAAGTGTCGGTAATGCGATCTCACTTCGTTCGGCTCTAATACTAAAACTACTATCAAACGAAAGAAGAAACTTTTTGCAATAACTATGCAAATCAAAATCTCAGCCCCAGAGTCTCATCAAGGCTAGACTTCATTTCTAAAGACGCTTGGTCGGCGAGGGCGGTTCCGGGCGAGTCAGGGTGGAGCGTGTAAGGGAATTCCCAGGCGGTCCCGGACGAGTTAGGGTTTAATGTATTAAATAATTTCCGGTAGTTCCATACATAAATTCAGGTCTAAAGTGCCCGTGTTGACGACTGCGACTATAGTCACGATAAACTCTGAGGGACAGTCGTAGCATTACGACTATAGTCACAATAAACTCTGAGGCACAGTCGTAGCATTACGACTATAGCCGCAATAACCTCACGATGGGTCACTACTGTCACTGATCATAAACATCGTTCTATGACAAACCACAGCAGCTCACCTTTCCCTCCCCATCGTAGTTACGAAGACGTTCAAACATGGCTTTGATTGTATCCGCATCGTAGCACTTGAAGTAGGAGTTACTGCTCATATGATAACCATACCTATGGGGAAAAAAAGTACATTTCAAAATTTTCAGTAGACTTGTCTATTTTCACAAGCAGCATAAACTCACTTAAAACAGGTCTGTATGTGGTTGGCGGTGGTTCTGATGCAGTTTGCTCCTTCTTTACTTTCAAACATCTATCACCATTACCATTTACTTCTCCTCCTCCTTTCCCTTGCATGTTACTCTCTAGTAAGACCACTAATCTTCCTCACACGTGTTGTAAATGCCATAAAACTCTTGTTAAAACAACCCCCCCAAAAATAAAATGAACGAAACAGGTCGAATGATAATTTGTGTATGTAAAAATTTCAATGACTTAACACAGTAATGTGTTCTTAGAATAAAATAAAAATGTGTTGAGCAAAAAAAAGATGTATTGTTTTTTTAAAGATGAGCTGCAAATGACATTATGACATAGACTACACCCCCTGATTTCGATTCCCCAGCTTTCTCACATTCATTTCCATTTTCATTCATTTTCACAGAGTTTTCCCAACCGGTAAATCTAAAAATGAAATTCCCGGCTTTTCCCCAATTTCCCCAGGTTGGGTGGGATCCCGTGTACTCACGTCTGATAGATGACCTCCAGCTGTTTGCTGAGCGTGGTGCCCGAGCTGTACAGGTGGTTCACCAGCTCCCCCACGGCCGCCGCCGCCGACACACCGTCCTTGTCCAGCACTTTGCTGCCACACATGTAACCTGGGGACACACAGAACGCGTTAACATGACACACATGTAACCTGGGGACACACAGAACGCGTTAACATGACACACATGTAACCTGGGGACACACAGAACGCGTTAACATGACACACATGTACCCTGGGGACACACAGAACGCGTTAACATGACACACATGTACCCTGGGGACACACAGAAAGCGTTAACATGACACACATATAACCTGGGGACACACAGAACGCGTTAACATGACACACATATAACCTGGGGACACACAGAACACGTTAACATGACACACATGTAACCTGGGGACACACAGAACACGTTAACATGACACACATATAACCTGGGGACACACAGAACGCGTTAACATGACACACATATAACCTGGGGACACACAGAACACGTTAACATGACACACATGTAACCTGGGGACACACAGAATGCGTTAACATGACACACTTGTAACCTGGGGACACACGGAACGCGTTAACATGACACACATGTACCCTGGGGACACACAGAACGCGTTAACATGACACACATGTAACCTGGGGACACACAGAACGCGTTAACATGACACACATGTAACCTGGGGACACACAGAACGCGTTAACATGACACACATGTAACCTGGGGACATATAGAACACATTAACATGAGTCACACACAGACACACGTGTAACCTGGACATATAGAACACGTTAACAAGGTACACATGTAACCTGGGGACACATAGAACAAGCCAACGTGGTACACATGTAGCCTGAGGACACAGAAAACGCCAAAATCAGACAGGCACAGCCCCACATGTGACATGGGAACACACAAAACACGTCAACATCATACAGCAACAATAATACAGTCAGGGACGTATAACACGAACACAGAAAACTCAAAATCACAGACGGATAGCTCGTGCTATATTTGCCACTCCCCAACTGATATCTCGTCAATTTTTTTTCATATCGGTCTACCCGAACTATGAATGTGCTGAGCACATTATTCAATCCCCAATGTGTTTGAGTTATCTGTGCCCTACTGTATTTTAAATTCTCGGCCGGCTGCTAATACGTGCTAAGCCCAGTAGGCAAAATTTTACAAGAGACAGAGCAAAAAAAAAGTTTCATTCTTTTAGCAATTGTACTTTCTGTGTGCATTTTTTCTGGCCTTTTTTTTTCCCAACATTCAGAATTTAAAGTGTAAAGTGCTTAGAATTTGCTGTCGAACCAGGATATACACTTCACGGATGTTATTTATCATTAGTATCATTACCGTCAAACAACTTGCTGTAACAACCACCTGTAAGAAATTGTAAAACCCTGTAAAAAAATACTCTTAAACTATCATCGTCTATATTTTGCAACTCCAGCATAGGATAAAAATACGCCAAAAATATTCACAAAGTGAAAGGAGATACATAAGATACATAAAGGAGTATGTTTCTACAACTGCAAGCACAAATGCTTACCGATAGCCTCTTCAAAAGCAAAGAGAACGTATTTTCCCTCTTTGAGCAGCCTGTCCGCCTCATTGCCCATCCACTTAAACCCAGTGAGTGTTTCCTGGGGAGACATTCAATAGTCCACATTGAGGCTATTAATTTTACTGTAATTTTAGCAGTATTTTGAAGTTGTAGTTTAGAGTATAACAAAAGTATTGACTATCGACACAATGCATGATCCAGAGAGGAAAAAAAACCTTAAAAGCATAACTCCCTCCCCGTCTTCTAATAAATGCTGAACTACAGTCGAGCCCCATTTAATTATCACCTGTCCAAGATAATCACCTGCACAAATAACCACTTCCCACTTCCTCCCTTGCATTCTTCTCTGTGTCACAATGGTACTGTCCAAGACAACCACCTGTCTTAGATGACCACTTCTTTACTCAACTATAAGTGTTTGTCTTCCACGGGTTCCACTGTACTCAAAAAGTATCATACTCCAATAACAGACGAAATGATACGAAGGACCATTCAAAGAACTCCTTGGAAAATGATAATAAATAAATAAATAGCATTTGTATAGCGCATATCCCCGCTCAACAGCAGGCTCTATGCGCTTTACACTATATTATTACCCCAGCAGACCATAGAACACTCGGAAACATTCTCAGCTTCCCGGGAAGCATACAGTGCAAGCAGCTGATTAAGCGCTCAAACACTAACAAACTGACACGATCTTTCGCTGTCTATAGCCGGGTAACCATTCCCACCTGGGTGAAGTGAGGAAAATTTGTGCAAAGTGCCTTTCCCAAGGACACAACGTTGGGCCCCTGACGGGATTCGAACCCACGACCTTACAGTTGCGAGTCCGAGAGCCGAGAGGTTGGAATGCAATCTCATTAAGAATCTGTCCATTCCATAAAAGTAAGACTGAAAAAAAAGGATGAAAAGAACAGAGGTGTTAAAAAAACTGGAAAATAAATAGTAACTGCCTATACTCACAATGAAGTTGAAGCCCTCTTTACGAGCAAAAGCCTCGAGGATCTTTGAGGACACAGTACTGGCCAACATGTACACATCAGACACTGGGAGAAACAAGACATTACGGCTGAAGTTATTCTCTCGTTAATAATCACATTGATGACAAAAAAAGGACAAGAAAGACCACGAAAGTCAACCGACACGCAAAGTATACAAATTTCATTCTACACCATCAAGAGAATATGTGTCAAGATGCGGTGGAATCAGACAAAGTACAAAATAAAACCAGGTTAAGCAGCAACACATGACACAGAGATAGTACACGCTTCAAAAGATGACGAGATTATTCGTGAAAACCTTGAGCTCACAAAACTGATAGAAAAGATCCCATTTTATTGATTTCCACGAGGATAAATTTGCTGCAGCGTGGTAACAGGAATGCCAAATGATTTTTTAAAAATTAAAAAACCCTGAAAATGAGCGGAGCATCACATCTCACCTAAAAGGAACCTTGTCAAGTTTTAAGAGAGCAAACAAAAACATCTCTCTTACCTCTCCCCTTTCCTTTGCAAGTGTAGGAAAAAGCCGGAAAAGCCGGAAAAGCCGGAAATTTGGCATCCCACTGGTAAATATATAAAATCGCACACACTCATCAACAAATACAAACACACACTCTCTTTCTCTCTCTCTCCCTTTCACCGTATCTAAACCTAAGTAACAAACAAGGAGACATAGAGACAACTCACAGTTGACACTGGGGTTCTTCTGTCTCCAGGCAGTAAAACACCACCAGCCCAGAAAAGCACCGATTTCATTCCCCGTGAACACGCGCCAGCCGCTGACCACAGAAAGAAAAAAGGAAAATAAGAAGATTGCACAAATATATAATAATAATAATAATAATGATAATTATAGATAGCATTTGTATAGTGCAAATCCCCGCTCAACAGCAGGCTCTATGCACTTTACAATCTGTACTATTACCCCAGCAGACCGGAGAGCATTCTGAAACAACCTCAACTACCTGGGAAGCATACAGTGCAAGCGGTCATTTATAATCTAGGCACTAAAACACTAACATACTGACAAGATCTTTCACTGTCTATGGCCAGGTACTCGAGTTGGGGCGAGCGGACGGACGGATTCGTTACTCGCGGACTCAGTAAGAGCGAACGGGTAACGGACGGCCATGAGAGCGAACTGCGAACCTCAAGACAGTTCGTTTTTTGGGTCCGCTCCACAATTTTACTTTCTCAGCGAGCGGACTGCGGACATCAAGCCTCAAGTCAGTTCGGTTTTTTTGGGTCCGCTCCACAATTTTATTCACTAGGCGGGCGGGCGAACGGACGAACTCTAGCAGACGAGATACTCGAGGCAAGATTAGACCCGTCGTCTATTGTTTGTTAATTAGGCCTGATGTTTCAAACCACTAGCGGTGCCACAGGGAGTGAGAGAAGATGGTGACGTAGTACTATGTGCGTAACCTTTCACCTCATGCGTGGGGCACACTGTACGTTCCAATTATCGCAAAGGCCGAAGGGGGGGGGGGGGGGGGGGGGGGTTGAAAGTTGTAGGCAATGGAAGGAGTCGTTCCCGTCCGTCCGCCCGCCCGCTCGAATGCATGGAGTCTCTCGGTCCGCCCGTCCGCTCGCTCGCTAAACGAACTGTTGTCTCTGCACGATGTGTAGCGAGTAGCGAGCTACTCTTCACAAACAGACGGTTCGTTACCCGTCCGCTCGTTTGCGGGTCGTGCCAACGAGTAGTTCGTTACTCGCAGGCGCTAATTTTGCGAGCCCGACCCAACCCTACCAGGTACCCATTCCCACCTGGGTGAAGTGGGGAAAATTCGTGTAAGGTGCCTTTCCCAAGGACACAACGTCAGGCCCGCGGCTCAAACCCCCGACCCCGCAACCTCACGATTACGAGTCCGGTAGCCTAACCACTAGACAACCGACGCCACATATATAGACTCACTTCCTGCTCCCCAATCTCACAGCCTTCCTTGAATCTCTCATCTATGTAAAAGGGATTGCCTCTGGGATTTTATGAAAAAAAATTAAAAAGACAGTTCACAAGCCCGACTGTGGGCCAACACAGAAAACAAATGCAAAGAATAATAACAGTTCTCCTTGTGAAAATAACAGAAAAACAGAATCCCTGGTTTAATTAAAAAGAAGTCAGAAACCTATCCAAGTAAAAGTACATCTCAGTAGAAAAAAACAACCACTTCATTTGTCATTTTTTCAAGGATTTTCAGGTCCAGGGCAGCGCCCTGGCAGGGGGTTGAAGGGGGACAGCGGTCCCCTTATGTTTGAGATTTTGTTGTTTCAACTTGTTTTTTCTTGTGTTGTTTGCACCATAATGTGTAGAATCCTCATAATTTGGCCTATAATAATAATAGTACAGTAGCTAGATCAAGATCTAATAAATAACTTGACAGCTTATATTCAACTTAAATCCACAACAATATTTACAAATAAACAAGTCTGATAAAAAAAACATCAAGCTGTGTTTAGAGTTTTCTTCCCTTGGCAGGCCCAAGATCTATTGAACCACACTTCTTCTTCTTGTTTACAATTGTTCTCTGCTTCTTCATGTGCTTTAGAAAGTGAAAGTGAAAGACATTGTCAACACTTTCAAAAGAAAGAGCACTTCCGGTATGGCTTGGCTATTGTTGACTTTTAGTTATTACGGAAATTATTTATTTCGCATTTTTTAAAATAATCTTTAAAAAAAAAATTTTTTGCAGGAATTTTCACGGAAATTTTTCCATTTGTGGAAATCTGCTAATTTGCGGAAGACTGGAAGCACTGGTATATATACAGGGTGTCGCCCAAAAATGTGTACACACGATAAAATCAAACATTACCATTTATAATGTGTATACATTTTTTTGGGACACCCTGTATATTAAAAGTACCTTCGAAAATGGCATGAGACTGTCAGGCAAGTGATGGCTTTACATTCTATACATGAAAATAAAAAGGACGTGCACACAAAAATCAACTGCACTGTGAGATGAGTATCTTAAAAGTCATTTACTCCATGAACTGTAGCAGGGGAATACGGAGTAGGAGGAGAAAGAGGAGGAGGAGAAGAAGAACAAAGAGAGAAGGGGGTCAATTTGAGAAGAGAAAGCTTCTCTGGTCTGCATATCCTGTACAGTTTCGATAGTATTATGACAATTTCTGAGACGAAGCACCTGTCAATTTTCTCTGCCACAGCCAGCCTGTCAGCATCAGGGTCGTTTGCCAGGATGACTTTGCTCTTATTTCGATCAGCTGTTTCCATGGCAAGTTTCTGTAATCAAAAAAAAGAAAATTGAAAAACATCGTCAACAGCAGCCAACTATTTGAGCCAATATTATTTTCTTTAGGTTTACTGCTGTTTTAGGATTGAATGTGTTACGTTTCAGCAGACTCGACCGTATATTGAAGGAAAACGCATGAATTATTCCTTTCTGTCTAAGACTATTCTTAATTTTTCAAAGAAGCACAGAAATGGTGGTATCCTCTTAAGGGAATATGCTCCATTACAAATTATGTTATGTTTCAGGCCATCAGTAGATTCTGATCCACTGTCTACAGCACAATTCCCTTCTTCTTTCTTTCCCTCTAGACTTTGGTTGGCCACTGCAGGATGTAACCCTCCAACAATGACCTCCACTCTGTGCAATTAAGCTGTTTTTCATGTCCAGTTCGTACCCATCTCGCGACCTCAGGGCTTTCTTGTCCCATCTCCATTTTCAATGAAAGTGAAAACAGTTCATAATAAAGCGTGAGCTTAAGAAGAAGCCACATTTTCTATGTTAAGAATCAAATGGAGATAATACAAGAAAGCACTGAGGTCGCGATCTGCTCTCTGAGGTCATCTTGCCACCTTCTTTCTGGTCTTCCTCTTGATCTTTTTCCTGTTCTTGGTCTCCATTCAATTAATCTTTTAGTCCATCTGTTGATTCTCAGTTCACTCTGTCGAAATGGCCAGCCTATTTTCATTTCTCTCGGAGTCTAAAATTTACTCTGGAAACCTAAAATTCACATAAATCAAGTCCTGCGAAACTGATATCAGCTCATTTCCAAGTATACAGCAAAGAAAGATACAGACAATAAAAAGAGTTCTCTTTTTAACACAAAACTTGAACACACAAATAGCAAAATATTCAGTTTCAGTCTGGTAAAAGTTTTACAGCGTTCGCAACTGCATAAGGTCACATGATAAAGCAGCCTAATGTTCACTGACTGACATTTCAACCTCTGTAACTTACCAGCGCTCCCTCGCCTTCTTCTGGGTTTGGATACTTCACAGTTGGAAAATCCGGGTCTGGTTGAACCTATAGATCCAAGATACGCAGGGAAAATCAAAATTAAAAACTGGTAAGGAGAGAAAAAAAATCCATTGACAATAAAGAAAAAAAAAGTTCTTAATGACATAGCTTAAAAAACTGCATTGGAGAGCCCAGATCCCCCCCCCCCCCACGTAGATTATATTAATATAACAAACCGTGGAAAATAAGCGTGTATAATAAATAAATACATGCAAACAATTGTGAATAAAAACCTGTATTTTCATATCACTTACAACATAAGTCGCATATGACTAGGCAGAAATGGAAGTCAAGAGAGAAAAATCAAATTTCATACAAAGCCGATCGTAAAAAAAGAATAAAAGAGCTCAAATAAAATTTTATTGGAGTATCTGACAAGTCTGCAAGCCTTTTCTTCACTCTTTATGGAAAAAGAGCTTCCGAGTACTCACCTGCTCCAAAACAGGGATAGGATCCAGAAAGCCAAATTCTTTCATTGCCCGTACGGCAAACTCATAGCCAACACCATGCATGGCTGTATAGGTGAGGCGAACTGGGCACTCAGCATTCTTTTCTCTGGAACATGAAAAAAATTACACAAAAGTATTAAACTGTTCACATCATCTTTTCAACCGCTGCAGTGTCCACAGGGTGCACAGGAGGCAGGTGATGGCCACGGGAAACATGGAGAGATGTGTGAAAAGGGACATGAGAGAAATGAAGCTCACTAGGAACGAGCTTAGAAGGATTGCCCAGGACAGAAATAAATGGAAGGAGCTTGTATGTGGCCTATACCCTGCCAAGGGTGAAAGGCATTGATGATCATCATCTTTTCGGAAAAAAATTAGTTTTTGAGTTGTAGTAAGAGTTTTACAGCACATCCCCTCCTGTCGTCCTTCCCTGGTTACATAGCTCAGTTTAGTTTCATAAGAATCAAACAAAACAATTAGGTAATACAAGTGCCAAAGATAAGTCAAATAAGTGGAGTTACTAGTGAGTTATATATACAAAGAAAAGAAGGATAAAATATAAGGATGATAAATGTTTGACAGGAAAGAAGGAGCAAAACACACCAGAGCACCTGCAATCCATCCACTCAGCAGAAATGGCAGGCCACCATGCTCACAGTAATTGAGAGGATGACGAGCAGTGAGCACCATGCAAGATGGTAAACAACTTATAACTAGAGAGATACAATTGAAGTGGAAAACGAAAATTCTCTTCCTAATTGCAGAAATCTACAAATGAGATGAAGCAACTAAGAAGAGTTATCTATATATATACCCATAAAAACAGAATGGCGTCGGTGGCCTAGTGGTTAGGCTCTCAGACTCGCAACCGTAAGGTCGTGGGTTCGAATCCTGTCAGGGGCCCAACGTTCTGTCCTTGGGAAAGGCACTTTGCACAAATTTTCCTCACTTCACCCAGGTGGGAATGGGAACCGGCTATAGATAGCGAAAGATCTTGTCAATTTGTTAGTGTTTGAGCCCTTAATCAGCTGCTTGCACTGTATGCTTCCCGGGAAGCTGAGAATGTTTCGGAGTGTTCAATGGTCTGCTGGGGTAATAATATAGTGTAAAGCGCATAGAGCTTGCTGTTGAGCGGGGATATGCGCTATACAAATGCTATTTATTATTATTATTATTATTATTAAAACCTAGTTGAAAACCATTTATGTTATGGATACTTATGAGGAGTAAGCAACTACTGAAATGTTTTTGAAAAACAGGAACATACAATTTTCTCAAGAAAGAATATAACATTATAGTAATAATACATACAGACTACTTAATGTAACACTTCGCTATACACCACGATGGAAAGTGACGTATGACAGAGTCCAACACTGAGCAGCCGATACAAACTTATTTCCTGATAAACCAGGGGGCTCTAGTGGCCAAGAGGTTACGGTGTTCGTCTCTTATTCAATAGGTCCCGGGTTCGAAACCTGACAACGATGGAAAATTTTCCTCTATATAAAATATTCTTCTTTCCTGCTTACTAACCATGTATTATCGTCTACTTTCATATCCACTTCCTCCCCTTTGTTCCCTCCTCTGGGCTCCAGACTCTTTCTGCAGCCTTTCTACTGGTACTCCTAGGCTCATTCTTACTGCTGTCTTTCAGCCACACCCCTGATCTTATGGTAGGTAAAACCTAACACCTAGCCTTCTTGGATATAGACGAAAACCTAGGAGGTCCCATGTGCAAGTTGCGCATGTTAAAGATCCCTTGGTGGCCCTACATTCAATAACAGTAGGCTTCAACCGCCACCAGAACAAAATTCAAAATTCCTACCAACTGAAAATCTTTAACGTGTCCCACCCGCTCACAAGACCTCATGCAGTTTCAAGCGCCGTAAAACACTAACAAACAAATATTAACAGATAAACCAGAAGCGACCAGAGCATGCTGTTGCTTACCTCAAATAACAGAGACTGAGCACATCCGCGTTGTACCGCTTCAGAGTCTCCTCCATGGGGTCTTTGACCAGGCTTGAGAGACGCTCCAGGGAGCTGACATCCCAGGAGGAAGCCAGGGGCTCCAGGCTCTCGTCAATGGCCTGGCTGATTCCTTTGTCGTGAGGGGAGACAATCTGGAACAACCAAATTCTGATCAGAACACAGGAAGACACGAATACCACATTAATATGCAAAAGCTTCAGAATGTTTAGCCCTAATTACACAGATACCAGCCATGTGAATAAGAGAATCCAATTTTTAACAGAGTAGAATTTTTCACTACTTTAATTACTTTACTCCTCTTCAGTCTAGCCTCAGACCTCACACCCTCTTCCCCCCCCCCCCCCCCCCCAACAACAACAACAAATACCAAAATGTTTTACTGAGTAAACAGATTTCAAATCAATGAACAACGAAAATTACAAATGTTTTACTTAATAAACAGATTTCAAATTAATGGACAGGAAAGACTGGCTTTATGTACCAGTGGCAAAACAGGTATGACAAAACTAATGAAGCTAACAATTCACTTGTACTACATCAACTCACCTGAGCCCCATTATTCCAGTACACCTGCAAAGAAAAGAAAGAGATAATATTACTCCAATCAAACAAGTGTAAGAAATTACAAAGACTGAAAAAGCACTGAAATAAACATAATCATAGTCAATTAGTAAATACTATCATAAAGCAACAATATTAGTTCAGTAAAAACATGTAATATTATGACAAAAGAAAAATGAAAGGAGAATAAGACAAAATCCAAGTTTTTTCTCGTTAAAAACTGCCCCCCAATCAAAATTGTTTTGGAGAAAAACAAACAGTTTGAGAACAAAAACAATACGATGATATCACCAGAATACCTTATAGCCATTGTCCTCCTTGGGGTTGTGACTTGCGGTGATCATGATCCCACAGTCAGCGTCAAAAGCCCGCACCCCATAGGCCTGAAGAATACAAAGATAAGAGCCATTTTAAGAAACTGAAAGAAAAGAGTAAGTTCCAGATCCCTTTATCCCTAATCTCTGTCCTCAAGTTATGCAGAATAACTCAAAGCAAAAAAGAAATATATTTAATTAATACAAATAAACCATTCAATGCTTTTATCAACCTTATATGTGTCACGACGCGGTGGAATCAGGCGCTCGTCAATTTTTGAGCATGAAGAGTTATTTGTGTCATCTTAAAGCTTGTTCATTTATCTATCTCAGGATGAAAAAAATACTCATCTGTCTGTAATAGAAATCAAGATATTAGCAATTGAAAAAAGTGGGGTCACCTGATTTCAGAGGTAAAAAAAGGTAGAAAATGGCCGTCAAAGCATGGTTCTTTCCTATGCTTTAGAGTTCTTGGAAACTGGAAATGTACCTTTTTTGTGCCTTTAATCAAAGTTTTTCAGTAAATTCCACACAGAAATGTGTTCTTTAATGGGCATGAAAGGTGTTGAGCCAAAAAAAAAAAATTCGATAAAAATTCACAAACCTGCGGAAAAATGCCAGCGTCTTCACTTTCATTATTTTGACGAGCGCCTGATTTCACCACGCTGCCTCACATATATTAAATTATTTTCTAAGGTCAAATATGAAGAACCATTTCAAAAAGCTGAATAAGAAGAGTAATTGTTCGATCCCTCCCCACACTCAGATTTCTGTCAAGGTATAAATAATAACTAAAAGAAAAAAAAATAAGCATGTCTAATTAATACAAATAAACCATTTAATGCTTTAATTAACCTTAAAACAATTCTTCTCTATAATCAAATATCTAGAAGAACAAATTAAAACAACAACCGTTTCTTGTCAAGAAAAAAATAATATCACTGACTATTCACAAATTCGCAAATCATTCAAAAGCTATTGAAACTTGTTGCTTTATACTCTTTGAAATGCTGAACAAAATCAAGGACAGTGTTTGACAGAGCTCACCACATATGGAGTTGGGCACAGTCTTGAGAATAGATACACTGGAATCCTCTCATTCACAAAAATGGTGCCCACAATTCTTGACCACCTGGAGGGATTGGATAATAAAAACAAATAACAAACAAACATTAAAACTGGCAAAACAACAATATTGCTTTCTCCCTTTCAGTACTGCCATGATGCAACATTTACTGACAAAGTGAAAATGTAAACGACAAACAGGAAACTAATTACCTTTATTTTTAAAAAAATATGAGTGCAATTCACAAGGGTGAAAGCTACCAAATCCACAACAGTGAAACCTTTCAGGATGATGGTAATTACCTTTAACTATAACCAGTGCCCATTCTTAGCTTTCTCCCCTGCTGGTGGGGGACCCCGTAGTTTTACTATGGGGGAGCAAGAATACACCTGCCGTGATACTGCGTGTCGTAAGAG